CAGAGACAAAGGGTTTCTCTGTACCATTTTTTTAAGCGAAGTTTTGTTTAGTTTAAGTAACCTGTATATCATGTTAGGTAACAAAAAAAAAAAAAAAACCCAACATGTCAGGTAACAGAAAAATCATGTTAGGTAACGAGAAAAATCAAATCATGTTATGTAACCAGCAAATCATGTTAGGTAACAGAAAAATCATGTCCCGTAAAAAGAAAAAAAATCCTGTTAGGTAACGAAAGAATTATGTTAGGTAACAAAAAAATCAAATCATGTTATGTAACTAGCAAATCATGCCAGTTAACCAGAAAATCATGTTAGGTAACAGGATAATTCGGGTTATGTTACCATAAAATCGTGTTAGCTAACAGAAAATCATGTTAGGTAACGAGAAAATCTTGTTAGGTATCTAGAAAATAAAATCATGTTAGGTAATCAGGAAATCAAATCATGCTAGCTAACGAGAAAATCATGTTAATTAACAAGAATATCATGCTAGGTAAAAGGAAAATCGGGTTGAGTAATCTGGAAATCATGTTATGCAACAGAAAATCATGTTAATTAACAAGAATATCATGTTACGTAAAAGGAAAATCGGGTTAAGTAATCTGGAAATCATGTTATGCAACAGAAAATCATGTTAATTAACAAGAATATCATGTTACGTAAAAGGAAAATCGGGTTAAGTAATCTGGAAATCATGTTATGCAACAGAAAATCATGTTAGGTCACCGGATCAAATTATGATGGGTAATAAGGAGATCAAATCATGCTGGGTAACCAGGAAATTAATGTCAGTTAACCAGGATACATGTTTGGTAAAAGGAACATCGGGTTAGGTAACCTGGAAATCAAGTTGGTTAACCAGAGACTCACGTTAGGTAGAAGGAAAATCGGGCAAGGTAACCAGAAAGATCATGTTAGGTAACAGAAAAAAAAAGTTAGGTAATAAGAAAAGCATGTTAGGTCACCAGATCAAATCATATTAGGTCACACGATCAAATCATGTTAGGTAACCAGGAAATCATGTTACATAACCAGAAAATTATGTTAGATAACCAGGAAATCATGTTAGACAACCAGGAAATTATGTTAGATAACCAGGAAATCATGTTAGGTAGCCAGTAAATTATGTTAGATGACCAGGAAATCATGTTAAGTAACAGAAAAAAAATGTTAGGTAACAAGAAAAGCATGTTAGGTTACCAGATTAAATCATGTTAGGTCACCAGATCAAATCATGTTAGGTCACCAGATCAAATCATGTTAGGTCACCAGATCAAATCATGTTTGGTAACCAGGAAATCATGTTAGATAACCAGGAAATCATGTTAGGTAGCCAGTAAGTTATGTTAGGTGACCAGGAAATCATGTTAGGTAACAGAAAAAAAAATGTTAGGCAACAAGAAAAGCATGTTAGGTCACCAGATTAAATCATGTTAGGTCACCAGATTAAATCATGTTAGGTCACCAGATCAAATCATGTTAGGTCACCAGATCAAATCATGTTAGGTCACCAGATCAAATCATGTTAGGTCACCAGATTAAATCATGTTAGGTCACCAGATCAAATCATGTTAGGTCACCAGATTAAATCATGTTAGGTCACCAGATCAAATCATGTTAGGTCACCAGATTAAATCATGTTAGATAACCAGGAAATCATGTTAGATAACCAGGAAATAATGTTAGGTAACCAGGAAATCATGTTAGATAACCAGGAAATCATGTTAAATCACCAGGAAATCATGTTAGATAACCAGGAAATCAAGATTATTTATTTTATTCAGTTACCCTTAATTTGATATATGATCTTATATAGAGGATTATAGCTAAGTATCGAATGTTTGTTTTTTTCTCCATTATTTTAACATGAACAGAAACACAAGATGCTTAGTGGGTGTGGTCTGCTAGAAGCTGACATAATCTATATCAACAACAACAACAACAATAACAACAAAAAAAACAAAAACAAACAAGATTAAAAATAATTTCACAAACATTAAATGCATAGTAATGCACTTTTTGAGATAGGCGTGCCATTATATTGAAAACCAAAATAACTTGAATATCATCTGGGGAAATTCACTGGTGATTGGTTCGACTATCGATTGCTCTAAGTTTGAAATCTATGTTTAAGACACTTAGAAAATGAGACTATCGATTGCTCTAAGTTTGAAATCTATGTTTAAGACACTTAGAAAATGAGACTATCGATTGCTTTAAATTTAAAATCTATGTTTAAGACACTTAGAAAATGAGACTATCGATTGCTCTAAGTTTGAAATCTATGTTTAAGACACTTAGAAAATGAGACTATCGATTGCTTTAAATTTAAAATCTATGTTTAAGACACTTAGAACAAAAACATACCTCTTGTTGCAGTGAAGGCTGCTAACAATTTTTTTTCCATTGGGTTTACTGATAACCTCCAACTAAAAAAAAATGGAGATGACCCCTCTCCCCTCCCCAACCACCCACCCACCCCTCTCCAACCTCATGAATGTCTGCGCGTCAAACTTTAATTTTGCAGATAAAGAAACATCAATCGTTCAATCGATCAGGAACACTATAAGGTTTATTATATTTGTTTGTTTGTTTTTTTTAAATTTGTTTCTTTCTAACTTGACATGGCTTGTAGGATGTTGGCCGTGCGGTACAGTCAATATGATGACACCACTTTTTCACGCGATCCGAGCAAGACAGGACAGCTCTGAATGACCAAGCCGCTTGTTCAGGGAGACAGAACACCTTTTTCATCTTTAAGAAAGGAAAAAAAAGTTACATTTTTCATCCTATGGAATATATTTGCGTATTAAAATCATAATTATAAAATTCCTTTCAATTGCTCTATTAGATAGTAAATCTCTTTGAAATAAATCATGCTTAGAATACGGTAAGTAGATATTATGTTAATAAAATGGCTTGATTAAAAATTTAATTTTTAAGTATATTTTTTTTTTAAAATAAGAAATGGTATTCAGATCTGACGTTTTAAACACGACATTGTTATGATAAGATTTTAATTTTATTATTTAAACGCCAATGCACTGTTCTTCACTGGGTACCCTTTTGAATAAAAAGCTGTATCGGGACTTTACTTTGACCGTTCTAATTTGAAATTTTCCTGTTCACAGGCTTGTAAAAAAATATTTATGCATCCCTTTGGCACAACAGTTATGGGCTTTGGTCACTGCTTGTGTATTCCAGCAGCTGATTTGGCCACTGCTTGTGTGTCCCAGCTGAGTTGGCCACTGCTTGTGTGTCCCAGCTGAGTTGGACACTGCTTGTGTGTCCCAGCTGAGTTGGCCACTGCTTGTGTATGCCAGCTGAGTTGGCCACTGCTTGTGTATCCCAGTAGCTGAGTTGGTCACCGCTTGTATATCCCAGCAGCTGAGTTGGCCACTGCTTGTGTATCCCAGCAGCTGAGTTGGCCACTGCTTGTATATCTTAGCAGCTGAGTTGGCCACTGCTTGTGTATTCCAGCTGAGTTGGCTACTGCTTGTGTATCCCAGCAGCTGAGTTGACCACTGCTTGTGTATACCAGCAGCTGAGTTGGCCACTGCTTGTGTATCCCAGCTTGGGCATACATTATGCATACATCGAAGATGATGAGGGAAAGTATAAATAGTTTACATTCTTTTTAGCAATTGGATACAATATCAAAGAATCCCTATTAATATTGTCAGCTTGGTCACTTTTAAAATAAGGTTAGTCAAACAGGCCCTTCATACGATAAAAAAAAAAAATTTCATTATCCTTAAAATAGCTTTTTTTCCCCATCAATAATTCATAAATATGTCCTGTTCCTGCCTTCTGTTTGAACACGTTTTAGCATTCAAAGACTTCATAGAGGAGGATCTCAAAAGTCTCACGGACTTGGCTTTTCTTGTGGACATTACACATTAGCTGAATGTACTCAAGAAGAAGTTACAAGAGCAGGGGTAGCTTGTCAGTGTTGCATATGACAATGTCAGGGCATTCTGCACAAAACGTGTTTTATTATTCTTAGAGAAACCTCTGCCATTTCCCAAGATGCAAGGTACTTATGGACTTGGGCACACCATTCCGTAGTAACTTAGTAGTAAGAGCACTGATGTCATTGCAAAGGTACAGAAAGAATTTGATCACATTTTTTTAGACTTCAAAACACATATACAGCCACTTTTCAGCTTCTTGCTGACCCTTTCTCCTTTAGTGAGGAAGTTGGCCGTGCTCCTTCTTGCGCTGCAAATTGAGCTGGTTGATTTTCGGTGCTATTCTAAGTTCTGGGAGGTGAATGGAAAAACAGACAAGCATGGACCATTTATGAGAGCATTACCCTCCACCTTCACTGAAATCTCCAGGCTGTTTAAGCGGATCATGTGACTTTTTGAGGGATCGCCTCTTTTCCACTATGAGCTTTTACAAGTCCAAATTCAAGGCCAAACTTACTGATGAACATCTTCAAGCTATACTGAAGGCCCCAGTTGCTTTCTGACTCACGCCAAAGCTGCTCAGCTGTGTAAGAAGAAGTTCTGAATTTTTTTTTTCGCAACAATGAGTTTGAGTAAGACAGTGAAGCCTAGTTTGTTTTTTGTTTTTTGAGCCCTTAATGTTTTTTTAAAGTCATTTATAAAGGTTAAGCAGATTGTGACAGACGTATCACGTGCTTTGAAGTGTTCAATAAATGTATAGCTATATTTTAGTGTAAGGCATATGATAGTTTTCAGGGCACATCCTCATACAATGTTATGTATGCGTAAGTTATCTGGTACACAAAGCTATTTTATAATAAGATTTTTGGTTTGTTTTGTTGTTGACGTTTTCAAGTGTTTCAAGAATGTAACGTGTTACTAACTTGGATTACTGCGCCTTCTGGTACTGCCTTCAAACCCACATTATTAATTGACTAAAAAAAGAAGTTATTTTTGAAAAAAAAATAAAAATAATACTGCTGAACACATATTTATTTTTTTTACAAATGTTTCAGGGCATCCCTGAAGAAGTGTATGACTCATACCAAGTTGAGATCCACTCATCTAAAGCTCGTGGTAGCGATCGCATTGTTGGCAACTGTCTACGTTCATTTTGTTAATCCGTAAGCATTTTTTTTTGGGGGGGGGGTGGGGGATTGTTTTCTGTTTTTGTAATCTCTGATTATAATTAATAGATGTACAAATTACGAAATTTTTAGTTCTTGTAATATATGATTATAATAGAATCTGTGGTGCAGCTGGGGGGGGGAGAAGAGGTTTGGACCGCACCGGGTGACATCATCTCAGGAGGTGACACCAAAGTAAAAAAAAAAATGCATAATTTCAGAGCACTCACTGCTCGGTCTAACCGAATTTCATGAAAAGGATAACCGATCACGCGCAAAGTTTCCAAACTTGTGACCAATCCAAATGCGTGCTCCATTAAAAGTTCAAGGTAATGCGTCAGAAAAGATGTGATCCTATAACTAGGTCAGGAAGAAAAAAATGTTTCGACCTCGATTCAACGCCGATTGCAGTGGTCGGTAACCTTCGTAACAGGAAGCCGTATTTATCTGAATACTGAGAAATAAAGCCTTCAATTGATACCAAATACGATGTGGCCGGACTATTCTGTGTACATGTTACAGTTCTTAGATACATTTATCTACTGAACTTCAGTGTTGTTATATTCTCGACTTGCTCTTACCAGAAGAAATCCAAAGTGGATTTTGGAGATCGAAGCTGGGGGGGGGGGGGGGGGGGGGGGGGGGGGGGGGGGTGTGTGGGTGGAAGAAGGTGACACCATGAGTTTACACCACTGGATGACACTAATCCCAAGCTACGCCAAAATATAGATGTACAAATTATCCACACAAGAAAACCCCACCTCATCTTCGTTTATTATTCCAGTGAAATTCCTGTAAAATATTATCGTGCATGCAATTATATTTGGTAGAACGTTATCCTATTCCCTATCCAGAGGTGCACTGTTTGTTCACTGGGCACATTTTCTTCACTTGAAACACTTTTTGTCTACGCCATGGGAAAACTCGACCGCAGCCGACGTACCGTCAGCACTGGTGACGCCACGGTAAACCGAAACCCTTGGTCTCACCAAGTCTGTCCTCCCTGGCCAGTTAAAGTCAGCACTGGTGACGCCACGGTAAAACCGAAACCCTTGGTCTCTCCAAGTCTGTCCTCCCTGGCCAGTTAAAGTCAGCACTGGTGACACCACTGTAAACCGACGCCCTTGGTCTCACAAAGTCTGTCCTCCCTGGCCAGTTAAAGTCAGCACTGGTGACGCCACTGTAAACCAAAACCCTTGGTCTCCCCAAGTTTGTTCTCCCTGGCCAGTTAAAGTCAGCACTGGTGACGCCACTGTAAACCAAAACCCTTGGTCTCACCAAGTCTGTTCTCCCTGGCCAGTTAAAGTCCACACGGATTGATTTTTAACACTTTTTTTGAAAATCTTTCCTGCACGCTAAACGCTGGGAGGCCGACCAATTAAAGAAGGATTGAGTGTTACCAATCGGGACTTGTCGATAAGTCGGGCCAGGTGCCGAATGGAGAAGTGGGGCGCTACATAAGATGAAAGTGGCGCCAGGACGCTTTGCAAACCGCAGACGCCCGCAATCTCCTGGTATTGTATCATATATAGAAACAATGAAAGTTATCCCCCGTGAAGCTGAGCTAGCAGGACACGGGGAATCTAAGCAACACACGATAAGATAACACGGAGTCAAAACATCCGAGGATTGTAGAAGTTTCGCAACGCTAAGCTAATAAATAATAAATATATATATATATAAAGAAAGGGACGTAAGCGTTACTTTTATAGCTGTCCTATCTTACTCTTTAGACGTAAAAAGTTCCGTATCGGGTTGATGAGCGCGTGCGCAACGTTAAAAAAAAAACACGTTTAAAAACACTAGGTTGAAAAGTTGATATTGGTAAGTGCGTTGTCAACTCAGTTAACAAAACCAAAAACAAACAAAACAAAAAAATCAAAAACAACATAAAATTCCCGCCCTAATTGATGAAGATCAAAATCTACCAGATATTCAAAATCTAATAGTTAAATTTTTACTGTCTCCATTATCGAATGCGGGCTTTTTAAAATTCTTTATAAAAAATGTCATCTATTTTTTTATTATTATTATTATTTTTTTAATTTCAGCACTTTCAGGATCAATTTCTTTGAAATTGGAATCGTGAAGCAAGAGCGAACCACGGTATCGTCTTCCAGGCAAAACTCGTCTTCTTTAACAAATATTTTGAATATTTCAAAGACACACGTTTCTTCAAAGACCGTTGCAGAGCCGGTAACCAGGCCACCATCAAGCCCATGTCCACCGACAAGCAGGGCAGCCCGGGTCAAGACCGGAGATTTATATATGACAGCCCCGTTCAAGGGTCGGATCGGTAACCAGATGTTCATCTACGCGACCTTACTTGGCCTCGCCAGCTCGCAGAACAGGACAGCCTTTACACGGAGTGGAACCATTCTGGAAAACGCTTTTGAGATCACCCACGTCAATAACACTATCAGCACAGCGGGGTGAGTACACAATGTTGACTTTATAAATGCGTCTGGGAATACAGGGGATGCAAAAATAGCATGAACTGAGCTTGTTATATTATATGGAAAAGCGAACGTTTGAAAAAAAAACAAATAAATAATCGCAAGTTGAATAAATTGTGATTATTTTTTTTTAAACGTCTTTTAGTAAAGAAATGTTTTCTCTTCGTCCTTGGCATGCGAGAATCGCTAAGGCTCTAGTCGACGGTGCGTATTCAGGTGGTCTACTAGGGAGCGTGCCCACATGGGGGATGTGCGCTTCTTTTTTCTTTTTTTTTGGGGGGGGGGGGCGGTTGTGAGGTTGTGGGGGGGGGGGTCGTGAGCGGTGCGTTTATTCTCTGAGAATTGTGCTCCGTCTGCGAATCTTCCCTACCAGCTTTTACCCAGACAGCAAGTCTGCCTCGCCTTCTGTTACCGGCTCTGCAACGGTCTTTGAAGAAACGTGTGTCTTTGAAATATTCTCTGAGAATTGTGCTCCGTCTGCGAATCTTCCCCACCAGCTTGTACCCAGACAGCAAGTCTGCCTCGCCTTCTGTTACACCGACAGCTAGTCTGCCTCGCCCGCTTGTGCTCCAACGGCGAGCCATCTTCACCACCTTGTGTTCACCAGCTTGTGTTCCAACAAGGAGTCTGCCTCGCCGGCTTGTGTTATGACAGTCAATCTGCCTCGCCATCTTGTGTTCCAACAGTGAGTGTGCCTCACCGGCTTGTGTTCCAGCAGTGAGTGTGCCTCGCCGGCTTGTGTTATGACAGTCAATCTGCCTCGCCATCTTGTGTTCCAGCAGTGAGTCTTCCCCGCCAGCTTCTACGACCCCCAGCAAGTGTTTCCCGTCAATTCAGGTCGATGCCCCATAATTTAAGTGCAATTTTTAGCCTATGTTTTACACTCTTATTGCGAACCTCAAGCTGGCCATTTGCCTGCTGTCACCTGACATTCTCGCGACATGCCCTGCATATTTGGCAATGTGTGGGTGCTGTTAAAACCAGCCTTTTTTGTGGTGTTTCTGTTATCAGTGACTTTGTCTTTCTACCCTATGCCTAGAAGTTTGAGTAAAAAAGTATGTAGGGATGGTTTACTTTGTCTAGAATGTCTGCTATCCACCGTCCATGTCCTTCTGTTGCATAGGACAGTTGTTAACTCGATGCGCTTTATACCTTCAGCTCAGTGACAAGACTAAGACACATCCGCTCACAGACACTTCAGCGTATTGGTCTTCCGAAAGCAACATTTGCTATGGAAATTCGTGTGTTGATCTCACCATCTGTGGTTACTGACATTGATAAGGTGTTGACCAAATATGTATATTTCCCCACTGTTTAGAGACTATGTCCCTTTACTAAAAGCTTTTTGCTCTCTTTGAAATCATCCTGGAGCGCGCCGGTGCAAGCTCTGTCATTTGTTATTTTTTTTTTTATTGTATTGATGGCGATGGTGTAGCTGTTGCAGGGGTTAGCTAAATGATTTATGTAAATTATAAACGTAAGAAGGATCCACGTACTATCGAGTTGTCTTGTGGTGTATTAAGATTGATAACTAAATTGGTTGGTAGTGAGGTAGTTATTGAGGATATTTGGTAGGTATGTGTGCAGTTATGTAAGTAGATGAGTTGTTAGGTAGCAAACGGTATTTGTTTATATAGGAATCTTGATAATTTGAAAATAAGCCATTACGATAAAATACTTATAATTTTTTTTGTTTAAACAAATATATGACTGAATTAGATGGTAAGGAAAAAACTGATAAACGGCGATGGTATTGATTTTTTTATTATTTTTTTAAAGCAAACAGTTGCAATTCACCAAAAGGTATTTTGTAGTCTCGTATGTTAGCGTCATAAATGAGAAGTCAACCAGTTATTTTATTGTAGAGAGTTAAATTACATGTATTATTTCCCTTTCCTGTGACATTGTCATTAGCGTGAGACGGCATGCAAGCGAACGCCGATGACTCTCAATCATATTTCCTGTTAAAGCGATTTTTAATACAGTACATAAAATAATCTAATAAGCACTGGATTATTCTTGCTGTTATCCGGAGTCTAACTTTTTGTTGTTGTTGTGTATACTATACCTCACCTACGGAAAATATCTCCGTGCATCGACTATATAAGTCGCTGTAAATGCCAAAAGAGGATTGACTGCCATCAAATATATGATGTTTTGATTTTTTTTTTCTTTTTATGACGAGTCTAATTATGAATAAAAGTTACTGAGTTGAAAACCAAAGTGTTTCAATGGGCTCCAAAGTTAGGCAGCACTCATTCGAACTGACGTGAGTCCATATAGGGACAAAATGTGAGCAACCTTTATTGGCTAGAAAATACATTCCGATGAATAAACAAATCCCATTCAGATCAACTGCATGACTACAGACAAATTTTATTTTTTTATGAAAATTCTAATACGTGTGTGTCCTTTAACATACTTCGCCTGAGAATCCAGACAGGCAATCCATATAATTCAGAGGCTCTCTAAAGAAAACCAAGGAAATGCAATAACTGTCACATTTATTTCATACCTTGATTGCAACAATTAGGCTTAAAATATCTAAAAATTTCGATTTCCAGGCCTTTCCAAAAAACAACAACATCTGATTCAAGGCCACTGTGTTTACTGTAATTTAAGTGTGTGTGTGTGTGTGTGTGGTGTGTGTGTGTGGTGTGTGTGTGTGGTGTGTTTGTGTGTGTGTGGTGTGTGTATGGTGTGTGTGGGTGTGTGTGGGGTGTGTGTGGGGTGTGCGTGGGGCGGGAGTGTGTGTGGGGTGTGTGTGATGTGTGTGTGGTGTGTGTGTGTGTGTGTGGTGTGTGTGTGGTGTGTGTGTGTGTGTGTGGTGTGTGTGTGTGGTGTGTGTGTGGTGTGTGTGTGTGTGTGTGGTGTGTGTGTGTGTGTGTGTTTGTTTCGGTAAGGCTAAAGGAATGTTATGCTTTAAAAAAATCAAATTCTGTGCCTAATCGACGCATACAACCAAATGAGTCATCATGAATTTCATGGGCACATGGAGGGCCCCTTGTGAGTCCTAGGTCCGGGCACCAGTGTTTCTTTACTGCAGTGACGCTACCCTACTTTATAGTTGGCTAAAACGTATACTTAAAATATAACGCTTCCAGTGCGACACATGAGAAACATGCGAAACATGCCCAACATGTCGGACCAAAGCAACAAAATAAAGATATATAAATATGCTAACATAATGCCAAATTACAAATTCTTTCAGTATGTTTTATTTAAATATTTTCATTTCACTCGCATTTCCAACTGGTCTGTCGTAATTTTGTTTTGTTTACAAAATCTTTTAAAAACTTTGAGGAAAACTTTGAAGAAATTTACACATCCAAATATTTAACACAAAATATTTCGAGAAAATTATACGTACGTTAAAATTAATAATGATGACCACCTTTGCTAGTTGCTCCTTATTTTTTGAACAACTTCGATGGTTTTAATTTTTTTTTCCCCCCGCGTAATTCTGTTTTAAATTTTACAGTAATCTGGGTATCTCTTTTTACCTCCACTATTTTCCTCAGATTCCGAACTGTTGGAGAATCGAAGTTCGCAACATTTGATGCCAGACTCCTGAAACTCTCAAGAGAAAACATAACTCTTGCGGGCTACTTCCAAGTCTGGAAATATTTCAGGAACATTGACGAGTACATTAGAAGAGAGTTCACACTCAGGGCGGCCATGCGCGAACAGATAAACGAACTCTTGGACAAGTTCAGAGGGGACGTCAAGGGGCACATCCTCGTTGGCGTCCATGTAAGACGCGGGGATTTGCTGTTCAGCAAATTCAAAAGATATGGCTACGGTGTCGCTAAGGCCTCATATTTTATGAAAGCGTTCGAGAGAATGAGGTCAATGCTAAACAGTTCGGACGTTACATTTGTCGTAGTGAGCGATGACCTAGAGTGGTGTCATGAGAATTTGAATTCTACAGACGTGCAGATACTGGAGCCTGGTTCAGCCGTGTTGCACTTTGGTGTCCTGGCCAGCTGCGATCACGTGATAATATCTGGCGGCACCTACGGCTGGTGGGCGGCCTGGTTGGCCAATGGCATCACCATTTACTACGACAGATTTTTCATTAATGGAACAGATTTAATGAGAGGCGTTTCCTTACAAGACTATTATCCCCCAGAATGGGTTGCTCTTGGCGATTAAAAGCAAAAAAAAGTTTGTTAAGAGTTTGTTAAAAAATGTCCCTTGAATTTATATATACATTTTTTTTGTGTATAATTTTTTTTTTTTTTTTTTTTATTTTCTTTTTGAGAACACATTTAAACAAATTTATAAATTTCTTTAATATGATATATTAATTTTGATCATTTCTAATTTTGATTTTTTTTTT